TTTCTAATACTAATCCTTTTCCTTTTTTTTTAAGATTTTTAATTAACTTTTTCTTTTTTTGTTAATTCCATTTTTTTTTGGTTTAGATTCCCTTATACTAAAATTAAAAAGCATTTATTAAAATGAAATTCCATTAATTTATATAGGCTAAGATGAAAATAATCTATGCAAAATGATTTGAATTCAAGTTATTAATTAATTAAAAAAGATGAATTGGAAATTGTTTGAAAATGATAAAGTTATTTTTTGTGAGGTTAAACATTTTGAAAAGATCGATTTAGTTTTCTATTAGAAATAAACCTTCAAACTTTTTTGACATAATAAAATATATAAATTCAACACAATTTTATTAAAAATAAATAAGGTGTTATATGGATATATTATAAAAAAATAATTGTTGGAGATAAGTCATATTAATGAGAAGAGTATTCAGCTTCCAATTCCAAGAACATTTTTTTGATAAAAAAGGAAAGATAATATAATAAGACTCTAGTTTAAAAATAAAATATTGACAGAGTAAATTAAAATAATTAAAACCAAATACTTCAGTATTAAAATAGAAGTTGTCTCTATTATACATGCCTGAGAATGACTAATAACATACTGTTAATAGCAAAATAAAATAATTAATTATTATTAAAAAATGAGTTATTGTTTACTTTTAATTTCATTTAATTCTAAGAGAGTAGCATCATGAAGCAATTGAACATCAATATTATTTTCTGCCATACTAACATACCGTATAGTATTTCCTCTTATAAAACAGTCAGTCATTGTTTGCTATATATTCAATATTAATATTCAAAAAAAAGTTAAGTTAAAATAAGAATTTACCAAACTATTTGAGGGAATAATGTTGCGTCACATTTTAAATTATTCAACTTAATATTTAACATTTGGTCAACAGCAATCAATGTTCCTGTTATTATTACATCATTTTTTAATTCTACAACAACTTCTTTTCCAATTAGCGTTTTAAAGAATGAATAAAATAACTAAAACATTAATTGTATAACAAAAAGAGGTATTAAAATCAAACCATAATGAACTAATTTTAATGAGTTCTTTTTTATTAAATGATTAAAAAAACAAGAAAAAAAGAAACTAAAAAATTTAATGGCAAATCAGTCTCAGAAGAAAACTGTAGTTAGAAATAAACAAAAATTACTCATTTCATTTGCTTTTGTTTTTCTTTCTATTGTTTGTATTTAATAACATGATTTCATTCTTTATAAAAATATAACTTATAAATTAGTTCTTCTTTGTGTTTTATCGATTCCTTAAAGGAACATTAACAGGAACAGCATATTTCGTATTTATTATTAACGCATTATTCCAATGTATTCCATTAATTTATACATTCTCTATAAGTAGGCCATTATATGAGAATGGAGAATTAATTGATTGTGGATCAGACTTATCAGCTGAAGGACTAATGGATTATGTCCATGACATTCTTTATTTCTCTTCAATCATTCAGTTTTTGAGTTCTTTCTCTTTCTTTGCAATGTACTTATATATATTAGTCATTGGATATACCATTTATCTTGTTGTTCAAATGTCTAATGCAATGCCAAATTTAAATGCAGCTCAAGGAAATTCTCAAGAAAAAGGAAAGAAGCAAAAAATGAAATTTAAAACACGTTATTAATTGATTTTCTTAAATCAGTTAAAATATTATTATTTTTATTATAAATTTCCTATATTTAATAGTAAATTAAAAAAAGTAATTATCAATTAAGCAAAACAGATCATATTAGATTTTTTTGCTTCTCGTATTGTTGTATTTGACCCATGACCAGTAACAACAATAGTATTTAATGGTAGTGAAAATAATACATTTTTAATTGATGCTTTTAATTGAGCAAAACTACCTCCCCATAGATCAGTTCTTCCATATGATCCAGCAAAAAGAGTATCTCCATTAATTACTATCTCTTCATCTTTAAAATAAAATGAACAAGAACCAGGAGAATGTCCTGGTGTATGTAATACAACACCTTTATGTCCATCAAGATTAATTTCATCTCCACCTTTAAGTATTACATCAATTGGTGGTAAATTATTCACTTCAGGAACGCCAAAGTAGTCACATTGCATTGGTAAATTCTTATATAATTCAATATCTTTTTCATGTAAACATAATGGTGCACCAGTTAATTCTTTAATTTTTTTTGCTCCTGACACATGATCAAAATGTCCATGAGTGAAATAAACACCAACACACTTCTTTAATCCAATTGACTTTGCTCTTGAAATAACACGATCAGCATCTCCTCCAACATCTGTTACAATATAATTTCCTGTTTCAGGATTTCCAAGAATACAACAATTAGCTTGAATGATTCCAGTTGGTAAACATGAATAAATTAATGAATTTAATTTAGCCATTATTTGCAATTGATAAGTTAAAATTTTTTTATAGTTCTTTTTAAAATTTTTTTAGTTAAAATAACCAAATTTTAATATTTCATATTTACTGTTATTATGAAAAAACTAACAGAAAAATAAAAATTGAAAGAAAATAAGTAACGAAACATAACGCAAGAAAAGTACATTTCATTAAAACTATTTTCAATTAACTTAAAATAAAAAATAAAAAATAAAATAAAAATTCAAATGAATGAAGGATTTTTTTTAATTAATAAGAAGAACTATTCATATCTTTTTAAAAGATATTTACGAAATTGTTTTAAAGAATCTAATGAATGGAAAACTTGGATAATTTAATTTAACTTAAATATTAGATAGTTCTCAAAAAGTCTTTTTAAATTAAAATTGATATTAAATATTGAGATAAAATTAATTCAAATGTGTTGTTAAATATTGTAAAGAAAATAATATATTTGTTGATGTTACAAAACAACAATTATCTAATTCTTTTGGATGAGAAGGACAATGAAGAACATGTAAATATTTTGAACATTGTTTTTTTGCTTTAGATAATAAACCAGTAGATTTCTTTTTTGGATTAAAATATTTTACAAATAAAGACATAAAATCTGTAAATGCTAAAAGAGGGAATTGTCTATAATTAAGAAATTCAATAATTTTAGGAGAATTAAAACTAATCTAAATGATAAATTATTTATTTGAACGTATTTAAATTTAATTACAAAACAAAAAATACAAACTGGAACAATTACTGTTTGAGGGTCCTGAGATAAAAAGGAATTGAGAGTATTAATTATTTCTTTAGGTTCTTCTTCTTTGGTTTGAATTTTATCTGAGAAATTAAAATGAGTAAAATATTGTTTATCAACAACCAATTCATTTTGACTATTTATTTTAACTGAAGAAAGACAAAGTTCAATAATTCTTCTATCATCAGTTGCACTTGTATCAACAAAGATAAATCTGTTTTTATTTAAGGAGAAATTGGTATTTTTATGAATCACACAAAATGGAAATTTATCATTATTTTTTATTTCATAACCAATATCTTTTAATATTATTAATATTGCTAATGCTGTATGTCTAGCATCTTGTAAACCACAATGATATCTATCAGCTAATAACTGATGATATGTACATTTATCACAAATTTTTAATTGTTTATAAACATCATTCATCAGAATTCCACATTCTTTGGCTTTAGTATTATCAAATCCTTTCATAGTTGCTATGTATTCTAATAAAAAATGATGTGTTGTAAACACATAATCATTTGGAATTGACTGATGTATATATCCAAATAAATTATTAAAACATAAAACATCTCCTCCAATAGTTTCATCTTTCAAAACTAATAACTTCTTTCCTTTAAATGAATTTAAATAATTTGTTAATCCTTCTATTATTTCAGAATAACTTTGAGTATAATTCATATGTAAGTCAATTCCATGAACTCCAACAGCTCTTTCAAATGAAGTGTTATAATGACTTGGTTTAATTAATGTATGATAAAAATTAATTTCTTTATTTTCTTTTAAATAATAAGTTGAAATACCTAATTCAAGTGGAATAATACCATCTGTCTTTGAAGAAGAAAATTCAAAATCAAAGAAATGAATAGGAAATTCAAAAATATTTATTTCTTTAAAAAGATTAAGAGCAATTGACTTAAATTCATTTTGTTTATGCTCATTTTCTTCATTTTCAATTTGTTTTTCATTTGTTTTAATTATAAAATTTTGTTTTTCTTTTATAATTTGTTGTTCATAATGTTCTTCTTGTTTTAATATTTTAGACTCTTGTTTTAATTTTTTTTGTTGTTTTCTTATTGCTCTTTCTTTTATAATTTCTTCTTTTGATTTAGAACGAAGAGGAGGTGATACAAAATGTTCTTTTTCATAATTTTTGTTAATAAATACTAAAATAGGTAATTGATCTATTTCTTTAAATGGAATTTTCAAATTCTTCATAATAACAAAAATTGAAGTTGCACTTAATTTAACTGAATCAAGAGCACATCCTTTTGACATTATTTCTTTATGAATTTGACATTTTTCAATTGTCCCAATTCTAGTAGAAACTGACATTAATAATGAAAATGGACTTTCTATTGATTTGTTATAAAAAGAACATAATAAATAAAGAAATTCACTTTCTTTAATAAATTTAAAATTTTTAAATTGTTCATTTGCTAATTGAAAAAGTTTAACAAAACATTCATAACTTGGATTTCTAATTTCTTTTCTTTTTACAATACAATAAATGTTATCATCAAAAGATTTTAAATATTTCATTAATTCATTTACAATATTTTTATAATCTTTTCTTAAAAATGGACTTTTACTATCTAATCCGTGATGGTTCGTTAATTTTTTCTTATCAATAAATTCACTAATATCACAGTATATTAATTGATGAAACTCTCCTAATAATTTAAATTCACTCATTTTATATGTACAAATCCCTAACTCAATTGGAAATGTCATTTTCATTGCACGTACACAATACTCAAAATTAACAAAATGTAGAGGTATATCGTTTGTAATAATTTCTTGAATATTATGTATGAAGTTATATCCTAACATTTTATTGAAATTCAAAAAAAAAAAGTTAGGTTTAAATGTTTTTTTTAATCCTCTTTGTTGAGCTTTATTAAAAATTAAAAAGAAACTAAAAAAGAAAACTAAAAATTCTATGAAAAAAAGTATCTTTGAAGAAGATCTGAGAATTGGTAAGAAGCTTATTAGATATGGTTTTGCTCCTAGAATCTCTTTTTTAACAAGTAGAACTGTTCAGCTAGAAATTAAAGATCCTATTAATAAATTATTAAGTCCATTAGAAACTATTTGTTTAATTGGAACAGAAGATAAGCCAGTGATATTGACATCATTATTTCCAGACATATCAAAAAGACAAAAATCATCATATTTAACAGAAGATTGTAAAATAGTTAGTGATTGGTATTGTATTTATAGATGGGCTTCTACTGTTGAAATTGTTTCAGAACCAACAAATAATTTTGGAAAACCTATTTGTGTTGTAATTGCATGTAGTGATAATGACTGTAATGGAGATGTTGTTAGTGCATTAGCAGGACTTTCTACAGATGTTGAACAATTAAAACATTTAAATGGAGAAAAAAGTGAAAAGATTTATGTTTGTTTTACACAACGAAAAATTGAATTTAGAAGTCAATGGAAATATACAATTTGTATTAATTCTAATGATAAAAAATCTATTTGTGATGCAAGACAAAAATTAGTTGAATATTCATATGAAATTGTTCAAAATGAAATTAAAAGGTTAAATGATTTAATTATTGGCAGAAGTGGAATTAGAGGAATTATGAGAGAAATATTTACTGATAAAAATGAATTTGAATTAGAAAAAGAAAAGTCTAAGACATTTGAAAATATTCATCAACAAATTGGTGATTTATATTTTAGTATTGGAAAATATGATAATGCAATTGAAGAATATTTAAAAGCATTACCTGAATATCTTGATAATATAAGACAAGTTAAAGGATGTAAAGAAATGATTGGATATTCATTATATATGAAAGGAAGTCCATTTATAAATGAAATGAGAGAAGCATTTGATTATTTTTATTCTAATTCAAAAAATAGTGAAAGTTTAATTGAAAGTGATTATTTAATTGCAAGAAGAATTGGAATGAATTTTGGTGCAATGATTAAAGGAAAAGAATGGGAAAGACATATGATTCGAGTTAAACATATGAAAGAATTATCTCCATTATTTTCTGCTCTTATAAATGAACAAATAGCAATGAGAATGATTGATAATTCACCTAGAAAAGCAACTCTTTCATTTATGGAAGCAGCAAATAAATATTTTCTTGCAAATGAAAGATTAGGAAGTATTAGATGTATTTGTACTGGAAGATGTATTTATTATAGTAAAAAAGATTTAATAATTCCATCTTTAATTACTTCTAAATGTTTAGTAGAAGAAATGGTGAATGAAATTAAAGAAATTAATTCTATTTCATTCTTTATTTTTGCATGTGATTGTAGACTACGTTATACACAAAAACTTTCATTATACAATCCAATTGATATTCAACTAAAAGAAATACAAAAAGAAATTGTTGTTGGAGAAAAAAGTTCAATAGTTCTAGTTATACAAAATAATGAATCTTTTCCAATTCATTTAAATACAATTAAAATTGATGTTGAAGGGGCAGATGAAATAAAAAATGTATCTATTGAAGAAAAAAAATCTAAAGAAGTTACTTTACAATTTACTATGCCTAAAGAAGGAGAATATTTAATTCATGGAATTAATGTTGGAATGTATGGATTTAAATTTAAATTAGCGTTTTCAGAGCCATATAAAATTAAAGTGAGATCATTTAAAATACCTATTTGTATTGAATTAGATACTAAAAAAGATGTATTTAATGGAGAATTAATAACAACAAAAATTAATATTAAAAATATTATTGAACAAAGTGTCGATTTCATTTCTATTGAAATTAGTCCTCAGTATGGAATTTATGGTGGTACTAAAAAAGATGATTGTAAAATATTTAATATTGGAAAAATTAAAAATGAAGAAGTTAAGTCTCTTGAAATTATTCATAGAGTTATAAAAGAAAATAGTTCATTAATATTAAAATTTAAAATTAATGAAGAAGAATGTTTTATTGAACACATTAATTATAATGTATCTTCTCCATTATTTATTCAATCTCAATTACTTGGAAGAATAAGAAATGTTAAAGAAACACAAATTAAATTTGGATTAAAACAAAATCAACTAAAAGAAAAAATAGAAATAAAAAATATTTCCTTATTATCTAAGTCTTGGAATAAATTAAATTGTATTAAAAAAGATGAAACAAGTATTATTATTGGAGTTCATTCATTTTCATCAAATGAGTTATTAAATGAAACTATTAGTATTGATCAATTTTCAAATGAAATTCAACATGACTTTCAACAAAATAATATAATTAATGAATTGGCTATTCAATATGTTAAAAATGAATATCCAATGATGGTAAAAGAAGTTATTGATAATATTTGTTCATTAATTTGGCAATATAAAGATTCTATAAATGTAACTTTTATTGACTTCATTCCAGCAGTTCTTCATAGAAATAATCAAACTTATCCTTATCATTTTACTTATAACTCATTATTATCTAAATCTAAAGCTGGTCAATTAACAAAACATTCAACACTTTTAGCATCTTTACATTCAATTTTTATTGGTCATTTTGTAGAATTTGAATATGAAAAAGAAGTTAATTTAATGGAACCTATTGAAGTAAAGATTCATTTCTATAACACAACAAATTACCCAATAAAAATTTCTCTTTTTGGAGAGTCTTCATTAAATAGAATTTCTTATTATAACCAATTTGAAAAAATTGTTACTAATTCATTTTGGTATGGTTCTATTGGTTCTGAATTGGAAATAAATAGTTGGAAAGAAAAAGAAGTTCTTATGACTTGTGTATTTCTAAACTATGGAGAACAAACTCTTCCACCTATATATTGGAAATACTCATTTGAAGAAGGAATTTGGAGTGACCAAATTCCATTAAATATTTACGACCATTCTCTCACATTAATAGCTCCTATTTCTTCTATTGGTACAGAATTCATTGAATAATATGTTTTATAGAACCGAAATAATTATAATTTTATTTTTATAAGGAATTTTATTTTTTCATTTTTAATACAAAAATAAATTAGACACAGACTTTGAGTAAATATCTTGATTAAACATATTATATAATCTTAGTTATAAACTATAAGCTATAAAACTATTACATTCCCCAATATATTTATATATTGCTAATTTTAATAAAAATTTCATAGTCTTAATTAATATCTAACATATTAGTAACAAAATATAATATTTTAATTATGTTTTATATTTTATATTATTATTAATTTACCTTCATTTAATTGATAAAATAAGAATTAAAAAACAAAACAATAAATTGGTATTAATAATTAAACAGAGAAAATAATAAGAAACAAAGTATTATTTATTAAGTTGAAAATTAATCATAATTAAATTAATACTCTATATTAGACTTTAATATTGATTAACAAAGAAGAGTTTGAAAATTATTATTAATTATAAATATTTGTTAATACTATTTAATGAAATTGGAAATACTTCATATTATTAAATATTCGTATTTATGTTTCTTAAACAATTCATTTTTATTTTTGTAATTCAACATATATCTCAATTCCATTGTTGGTTATTACCATAAATTAGTATTATTATGTCTTTATTACTTTTAAATAAAATTTTATATTCTTTGTATTTTATAATCATTAAATTCAGGTTTTAATATATTTGATACATTCCTTATTTCTTTTTTAAATAGATAAACCATCTTTACTTTGTTGATTAAATAATATTCATTACTAAAAATGAAAATAAAACCAAATATTTATTTAATTGAAAATTAACATCATTTTGACTAAATATTATTTAATCAACTCCTTAGACTAACTAGAAATAAAGAATCAACACCTACTATTTATTTAACATAACCAGAAATTCTCTTGTGTTATTAAGTAAAAGAATATAAAAATTATATGACAAGTTGACCTAAATTAAGACTTACAAAAAAGAAGAAGGAAGTATGTGACATACATAACCCTTCTAAGAAAAACCCCCAATTTTTAATATTTCTTTAATTGTTTATATAAAGATTAAGT